AAGGTTGGCACTCGCTTTTGCGCAGTTAAACGAAGTCTCCCAGGTGAGCTGCAGCTGAAGAAGGCGACAAGCCCTATGGGCGAGCAGCCAGCTGGTCTGTGCACAAGAGCTGGACAAAGAGAAGCTCGAAATCAAAGGCGAAGGCTTCCTATCCGGGCGGCCGCGGGTGGGCCGAAAAAGCTGCAAGCAACTGCACTCGCTCATGCAAACCTTGCAAGTCAAGGTTGGCACTCGCTTTTGCGCAGTTAAACGAAGTCTCCCAGGTGAGCTGCAGCTGAAGAAGGCGACAAGCCCTATGGGCGAGCAGCCAGCTGGTCTGTGCACAAGAGCTGGACAAAGAGAAGCTCGAAATCAAAGGCGAAGGCTTCCTATCCAACTCCGAAACGTTCTTCGCCCGCAGCCGGCGTAGAAGACATGAGACTGGCAGTGAACATCTGCAGGAGTGGGGCGGCGAAGGCCGCGAGGTGCAGAATCCGAGCGCGATGACTCTCTGTCAGATCAGCGAGGAGTAACTGCCCCGCCACTTCCTGCAGATAATGCTCCAAAGTACGACGCTGTTGCCAGCGCCCCCTCCACTGAATACGCTCGACATCCTCCGTCAGCTGATACATCCACGTTGCTCCAGAACCCCGCAAAGATTTAGGGGTGATGCCTTTAGCATCCTCGGCCGTAGGAACTCCCAAGCTGCCGAAGAGCAAATTCCAGCGCTTGCGAAAAACTGCTGGCGAGCAGGCGAACAGCGGGACAATGCCAGGCAAATGACCAAAGAGGGCATCAAGGAACTTAACGGAGCAAAAGTCCGAGACTTTGGCATGCTGGCGTTGAAGAAATCTGCGTGTTTTGGCCCCCAAAATGGTCACGTAGGCGACGGGGGTACATGAAAGCAAATCTCGCGGTAGAAGCAAATCACGTCGACGGAGGCTAAGGATTTCTCCTGGTCTCAAAAGTCCGTGGAAGCCCACAAGAAGTGCAGCGGCAAAGAGTGGCCACTGCCACAACAAGGCCACGGCGATGGCAGCTCGAAAGACAGCCTCAGGCATCACCATGGATCTTTCCACAGGCTCTTCCTCCTCCCAGCGCGTGAGGATGCTCCAAGCCGCGCCAAGGGAGGCACGAAAGTGCTTAAAGCGGTCCACAACAGCATTCAAAGTCTCGGAAAAAGTGTATTTTGGACTTCCACTGTAAAACAAAGCCTTGCCGTAACCGACTAAAGCGGTGCCGAGCAGCAAACCTGAGCTCGCCACCTGCTGAAAGGAGCACTGCAGCTCGCCTTCCACCCAGCGAGTGAACTCCAGGAAAAGCAACTCTCTCCTGGAAGCAACCACCTTGGTGAGGCCACCGCTGATGTCGAGGTTGACTTTAGAGCGGTTGTCAGCAGCAGCACTTCGTCGTCTGGGCATGGCGCACCTGCAGCAAGAACAACAGCAGAGTGAGCCGCGTCCAGCGACCCAAGGCACCGCTGAAGTCGTCAGCGGCACGAACGACAGTCAAAAAACGATGATCACCGTCAAGAAATCCCTGCAGCCAAACTGGAAGCTCGGCAGCAGCAGCCCGCAGAGGTCGAAGTCGTGACGGGTCGTCGGCACAGTTATCGTCCGTCCCTATGTGAAAGAGGCAAGGGTATAAATCACCGCCCAAGATGTAAGGCAAGCTGGTGCTGATGAAAAAGTTCAGGCTAGCACTACTGGAACGTCCTTTTGAGTTACACCCAATAGTCACTCGGCTGTCAAGCAGGACTCCAAAGCGACTGCTAGGCGCAGCTTTGGACGCGTACTTAAGGAGACTGCGATATGCAAGCTCTTCGTTAATGTTGATGTGGTTGATGCGCTTGAACCGGTACTGAATGAGGGTTTTCCAAGCCATGCACCGCCCAAGGTCGCCTATCCATCGAGGAGGCACATAGGCAGGGCGTCTCACTTCACGATCATCATTTCCTAGAGTTTGCATTGCAGGCAACTGTAACTCGATCAGCCTTTGCATGACAATCAGCGGGCAGGAGCCCGAGAACTCACTCAGAGCTTCGCCGATCTGGGGATTGCGTCCGAAAACTGTCATGCAATCAGGGCGGCAAAGGCTCACAAACTTTTGCAAGCTCTTCCGGTCGAAAGTTGACTCCAAGCGCAAGTGCTTGCCGCGAAACGGGCAGGCGCACCCACTCGCTAGAACTCGTAGTGCAGGGTTGTTTGCAAGCAGCCGGGTAGGTCGCTGGAAAGGTGTCCCGTAGGAACAGCAGCTGAAGACCAAAGTAAAGAACCCGCGCTCAAGTAATCGCTGAAAAATGTCCAGCTGAAACACAACGGATCCCAAAGGTTCTTCCGCAGTGGCTAAAACACCATAGGCAGCTGCAAGGTGCAAAATGTACCCAACCCGGCTTGCGAGACGATTCCCTTCACGTGTGCGGCAATCGCTTGGATCAAAACCCCAAGGCGTAGCCCGACTGCGCAACCTGGGTTTGTGCATCGTGCCGAAGCTGTGAAATGGGAGTGCAACATGAACATACGCCACAACACGACGGCAAAGTAACCCGATGATGCAAAGCATTGTGTGAGGTTGCATGATATCGCCGTGTGGACGTTGACTCACATCAAAACCCGGATGAACTCGAAGTCCCAGGAGGCTCGCAGCGTGCGTCAAATGGCCTCGGCCTCGGAAAACCTCGCAGACATCAAATAAAATGCCTTCGCTCAGAGCTCGCGGGATCGGCTCAACCTCACTCTCTGTGCGGCCTAAAGCGAACTGGTCGAGGTAGCTAGCAAGCCGAGGCTCAAGTGCAGTGTAGAAGCCTTTGTGGTCAGCAAACCGAAGCAACTCTGTACTGGCTTGCAGCGGAACTTCACACGAGCAAATCCCAGCTCCAAAAGGAGAGGCATCCGTGCAGTACAGTCGGGTAGAGGGCTCGGCTCGCAAATTGCTCATAGCACATGGAACAAGGAGTACCAACAGTAGTAACTCCTGGCGGGCATCATGACTCAGTCGGAAAACTTCGTCAGCGTGACAGCCTGAGCCCTCATGGTAGACTTGCGAAAGGATGCTGAGCATCGGCCGCCTGAAGATCAGAACGAACATCCAACACCCGAGAACTTGCTGAAGCAGAGTCCGAGTAGAATATCCTAGCACAACCAGCTGTAAGGTAATAGCTGATAAGGCGGTACTCTTCAGGCGGGGAGCCGCAATATCACCTCGAACTCCGTCAAGCTGGCCGCCTAAAATAGTTGCAGAATAAGCATTCCTAACGGCTTTCTTCGAGGAGGTCCGCAAGTGAACTTTGGCGTACATGTCGGCTGCTTGACGAAAGAGCTGCACATCCCGACGATAAGGTGACGGCTGCCTACATCTTTCCCAAGCATCAACCAAAAGTAGATAGACATGGTCGTCGATACAAAGTAGGTCAAAGCCTGGGCCGCGTGGTAAAGGATGTTTGTAGCAAACCTGCTCATGGGAAGTCAAACATCCCGCGCGTTGCAACAGTACGGTGTGACAATGCTGAGCGGTCTCCACAGCAAAACTTGTACCCATTGCTAAGGTACGAAAGCACCCGACTACTGGGACATCATGTAGTTCAGACCTGTAGGCATGCCACCCCTGAAAAGCAGAGCCAGGGAAGACTCCGTGCAAATGGTTTCTGGATGCATGCTCGTCCGACACAGCAAACGCATGATAGAAGTCTTTCAAATCATCCGATGAGATCACCAGGTTCTTGCCCTGAGGGATGAACACCTGTGTTAGCAACGATGCGTGAGCCAAGGAATAGGTGGCATCCGAAACCGGAAAAGACCTCCCATTCTCCGGAATAGGGTTCAAGATCTGCCGGTCCACAGTATAGCTTTTGTAAACTGAGAATAAGCCGCACCGATACTTAACCTCCGATTGCGATGCTGGAATAAGATGTAGTGACTGTACGGCATCCCAACGTTTATAAAGACGAAACTGCTGTGTTCGGCTGGCCTGAACCCTAGCCCTGACTGAGGAAGGCCATTCAGATCGAGGCCGACGAAAGAATCGTGGATCACGGAAACCAGCTCGCAAAAGCGGGTCCACAAGAAATTTATCCGCCTTGAAGGTGGGGGCTTGCTCAAAGACGAGGCGATCAGGATCCAAAGGCTTATAGCTGGTTCTGGCTCCCGTCACCCGAGGCAAAGCCGCACTCTTGCTCACAAGCTGACACTCACTGTCGAAGTCGCCAGCCTGAGCGGCAGGTTTCTTGGCACATCCTTTGTAAGGCTGAAGCTGCGACGAAAGCTCAAGGCAGAACTTCTGCATCACAGCAAGCTGTTCACTCAACGTCTCAAACTTCTGAACCGAGCGTTCGAGTTCGCCTTTGAGCCCGCGGCCCAAGCGAACAAAGGTCGAAACCATGCCCTCAAGTCGACGAGTCATCGACACCTGCTGGGCAGAAGGGGGCTGCAGGTCAGCGGGGGGAACACGAGGTCTTCCAAGTGCAAGCCAATTGTTCGCGGCAACAAGATGGCGAGTCAGTAGTCTGCAACAATGCCTGTGTTTCCATCGCGCCCTGCGCCGGCCCACCAACCTGGATTGCGGAGCTTCCAGTGTAGGGGGCAGAGGACATGGCCACAACTCTGAGGAGCTCTGCGAGGCAGCGCTCGAAAAGGTTTGCGCAAACGATCTGTGAATAAAGGTTGATAAAGAACACTTCGCCTTCAGCAAAAACCTCTGAATGAAACTGCACAACGTAGAGGCACTGAGGCTGTCGTCAAGACCTGAAGGAAAAATCTGAGGAAGGAACCAGGAGTCGGAGCTTACGCCTTCTGCTCGCCGGCACCCCCGTCCTGCGCCCCCTTGCCGCGCTTGCCACGACCTTTGGGGCCGTCCGGAGTGTTTGGCGGAGCTGTGGTTTGCTGTCCATGCACCGCGCTGGTCCTCTCCTGTATCAGCTGGGCATCTCGCAGATAACCCAACTGAGCTGCAATCCACCTCGGGTCTGATAACATCCCATGCGGGACTTCCGCACGAGGAGCTCTCCGACTTTCGACCAAAGCAAACGGGGGGTCGTCGAGGCAAGTCAGGAGCCAAGCCAGGCGGGTATGCCCTGCCTCGTTCGCTACTTGCTCGCAGAAGACAAGGCCTCTCGCGATGATGGAGGCGACCTCGTCGCCTCGGCCGTTCTCCATGGCCTCCCAGGCCGTGCAGAGGAGGAAGGACACGTAAGTCAGCGTCTTGAAGCTGCCCAGAGGAACCGTCTCTTGGAAGTGAAGGTACATGTCCCGAGGCTCCAGGTCGCCCACTCCGGGCTTCCTTCGAGCTTGCGCAAGCCGCTCTTTGACCTTGTTGTACACCAGTGTGGGGCTCCTCTGGAAGTGTTCCCGCACCAGCTGCCGGGCAGCCATCCCCTTCACGCCTGGCAGCTTCAAGTCCTCGTCGGCGCCCCCTGTCGATGACAGGAGCTGGTGGAGGGGATCGGAACTCTTTCTCGTACTGGCCGCCAGTTGAGCAAGGATAGCCGTCTGCTGGACAAGGAGCTTTTGCAAAACGCCTTCTCCCTCGACACCCTCTGCGCCGTCTGCCTCCTCGCCGTCCCCGGTGTTGTTCACTTCCTGGACGGCACCCAGACGAAGAGCTGGGGCAGCCGAAGCCTTTGCCGTAGCCCCTAAACGAAGCGCCCCGCCATTCCGGCCCAAAGGCACGCTGGGTCCGGGAAGATCCCCCAAAGTCCGAGGAGCTCTGCCGGCAAGAGTAAGAAGTTGCTGCACCTGACCCGGTGTTAACTGTGCGCTCTCGCCCTCGGTGAAGAGCTGAGGAGCCCAGGCGGGACCTGCAGAAGTTGGAGGGGCGGCTGCTGGAGCTGAAGGGCGGGATTCGAGTTGAGCCAGGCGCCTTTCGACTTGATCCAAACTCTGCAGACGGCTTTGCAAACCGCTCAACAGCGTAGCGTTCGAAGAAGTCGTCTGTAGAAGCTGCTGCAGCACGTCGCTTGAGTCTGCAGCCCCCGCGCCCACCCCAGGCAGATCGAAGCCAGGAGGAACTCCAGGATCGGCAGCGCCATCGTCTGCTGTGATGTACGGCTCCAGGCGCTCGAAGGCTTCGACTTCTTCGCCGTTGACAAACTCCTCGAGAGCTTGCAAAACTCGCACACCTGAAGGCCAAACACTTTGCAGGCGCACAGTGCCGAAGGTCACTTGCTGAAGCTCGGCTTTGGGCTCGGCTGACAAAAGATCGAGCCCACCCACCGCCAAATCGATCAGCAAACACGCCACCGTCTTCTTCAGCTCGCGCCCACCGCTGCTGGAAACGGCGGCCACACTGATGAGCTTCCAGGGTCCTAAGACCCCTTCGTACCCTGTTTCGGCAGCCTGTTCCAGCACTGAGGTGGTGATTCCTCCCTGCGGGACGCAAATCATCATGCCCGAATCGACGGCCTTGACAATGAAACATTGTGATGAAAGACCTTCGTAGCTGAAATACAGCTTGGTGTATCCCGAAGTGTGCTCAGCCGTGCGCCAATCTCCAAGGTACTCAGGGGTACCAGGAGCGGCGTCAGGATCCATCAGGCCCAAGACCGAGCAGCCAGGATCACTCCTTCGCTGCCGGAAGTCTCGAATCGCGATCTTTCTCCACGAGCAATAACGGCACCCGGGTGCCCGAGTTGATAGGCGTTCCGAATCCTTTCCTCAAGAAAGCAGTCTGGGTAGGTGGATCCAAGCTGCCTAGCCAACCTGAGCACCGAGTCAAGGCACTCAGCAGGAGCAGCGAACTCAAAAGGCGAGGTGGAAGAAGGGCCACTGCTCTCGGGTTCGGCAGCGGAGGCACGCGCTCCGGGGCTAACACAAACTGAAGTAGAGCCGGGCACGGTCCCTAGGCGGGTTGCTACGATGCTGTTGATCGTGAGGTTCCCGAAGCGGCTGAGGAGCTCAGTCAATCCAGGGTCAGGCCTGGTGCTCATGCACACGGTACCTGGCGAGACGAGCTTCAGGACCACGAGGACCTCCCTGAAACTCGCGCACTAGAGCTCCCAGACACCCAAGCAGCACGTTCCTTGCAGAACGAGAAAGCAGTAGGGTGGCAGCGGTAGCTCCCACGATCAGCCCACAGAGCCAGCAGATTAATCCGACAAGGAGAAAATCGCTGGGATGGCTCGAGCTACAGCCGAGTAGACCTAAGAGGAAGGGCCAGGGGCCTGCCCGCTCGAACATCCGAAAAAGCTGCAAGCAACTGCACTCGCTCATGCAAACCTTGCAAGTCA